TTCCCAAGGTCTGTCCTTAAGTTGAATTTGCATGTAAGCTGGAACAGTATTATTGTCTAATACTGTGTAAGTAGTATTGTGTAATTAACTCGAACCATTGTGTATTTAACTTGAATTTTGCTACAGTAGGCTCTGTTCTTAACTATGGGTCATCTGTAAACTGGGCATTCTTAACCCAAGGACTACTTGTATTAAATGGAAAGTTCAACTTCTAACATACATATTGAGAAATATCCTGAATAGAAATAGTTGGTTTTCAGTTGCTTTAGATGGTTCATTTTCCTGAACTGTATGTATTATTTTTAAAACTTAACTGCAATTAGGAAGCAAATATGTATTCAGACAAAGTCGCTCCAACTTGTACTACTTATAAATATATTCCTTCAGAATGACACAGGGACTTCCAAATTAGAGAATGCAGCAGAAATATAACTCTTCCAACGTATGACAGAGCCTTCATAGTCCAGAGTTCTTATTCTCTCTGTTTCTTAAGGGGCTTGGGTGCAGAACGTGCAATCCAGTACAGACCCACATAAACAAGAATATCTAAGTAAAAAATACAGCTCTGTAGCACTAGCTTTACTCAGTTGCTAATTAAGTATTAGAATAATTGCTGGCAGGCACAAGTTCAAAGAACATAGCTGTGAAGTTTGCAAGGTGATTTTGTAGTGGTCCGTACCTCCCTCAGAGACCTTGGGCTATATTTGGGGACTGGTGGAGATGTAGGGAATTTCAGTCCAACCACCAACCTCTTACAAATTTGAACCGGCATGTTGAACTGTAGGTGCCTTTAGAGGAATTTATGGTTCTGCTGAGTTGCTTAACATCTGTTTGCTGTAACCTTTTTCTCTGTTTCAGTGTGGCATTGTGTTGCTGCTGCTGCTGCCTTCTTTCACTTCCTGTTGGAGGAAGCCTGCTTGATGGGAACTTGTTAACTACTAATTTTAAAACATGTTTAGCTTTTTTGTAGATGACTTACCTTATTACAAATTGCTAGTTAGTACTGAGTTTAGAATATGTTGTTAAAATTGGAAATGGGATTATGATAGTAATAAAATTGCAATATATGTGTTATCACAGCACATGGGGTACCTACTTGACCTTGGTAGGTCTAGAAAGGCTAAGTAGAGTTGGATGGTTAGTACTTGGATGGGAGATCTTCAGGAAGATGAGGCTGTAGGCTGGACTGAGAAATGGGGAAAAGAAAAACATGCCAGAAGAAAATGATGGTAAAACACTATTGCTGCTAAGGAAGCTACATGGATGTAGCCAGGGGGAGCCTTTACTTGGTAAATATATATATTGACTAGGGTTCCAAGTGGAAATCAAAGTCTGTTGCTGTTTGCTGGTGGTAGCATTCAAAAATAAAGCAAGAATTAATAGATAGAGGTTCTTGCTATGATGCGTGCAGTCCTTCCTCTCCCTAGCTAGTCTGTTTCTCTGAACAAAAGGCAGGAAGAGACCTAGCCAGAAGAAAATCTACATCATGAATCTACATTGTGGGCTGATTTTTCATATGACTCAGCTATAAGCTAAACAGATAGGAATGATCTGGAAGATGCTGAACCAGACATTCCAAACTATGTATTAGTCTGTTTGAATTTCCCTCCATGGAAATCTTTGTTTAGTGAAACTTTCTTTGTGTTTAAGCAGCACTGGTCAGTCTGACCATATGAGATGTCCCAGACAGCTCTCTCCCCTTTCCCACTGCACCTATATTGAGGTCCCCCAGAAGTTTAGTTAGCTGAGTCTAGGTTTTGTTTCCATTTCATTTCATTTCATTTCATTTCTACAAAAGATTACTCTGCTGCTTATGCTATTATGAGGGACTCTTGCCATTAAATTAGGAGTTGCCATGCAAATACAGCCACAGTTAGAATCTATAAAAGGCTGAAAGAAAAGTGGAATATCTGTGTGGTGAAAATTTCTTGTCAGTGTTTTGAATTACTCAGATTCTTAAGGCTTTTATATTTTCATTGCCTTTGACAGACCAGATGTTATTAATATTGAAAACCAACTGAAATTGGGGCCTTTTAGATAAGCATCTTGGTTGCACATAACTTTTGTACTTTGTTCAATGTGGGGTTTTTTTTTGGTGTTATGAAGTATGTTTTGAATTAAGTATATACAATCATTTGAACATTATATAGGGTACCCCTTCTTGTTTGTCTTCTCCGTTCTTTGTGGATTATATGGAATATTTTTAAAGAGTGGATCTCACTCTGAAGTTTAAAATAGTGAAATAGATTACTATAGTCAGCGCTTTCTATATGCTGCTGTGTAAGTGCTGGACTCACTTATTATTTTGTGGCATGCACCTGAATTGGGAATTAATTATGCCTTAAGTATTGAACAATTTTAGTAATACTAAGCATCATAGCAACAGAATTATTGTATTAAACAGAGGCTGAAAATAGCTGAAGAGTAGTTCGGTTAAGGTGACCTAGTAAGCCATAGTTCTCTTAACTATGCAGTACATCAACTTTCATAGAGCTGGAAATAAATAACATATTCTTAAACTAATAATCTTCCACTTTCCTGATTTGAATGCCATGTCAAGTCAAATGTTTATTTGTGGAATCATCTCCTCCTTCTCTTCCATTTTTTACTATACATTAATATAGTCCTGTAGCTTTTGACGTGCCTCGCAATTCACAGATCAGTGAGTGATTCAGTAATGGGTCACAACTTAACAGATGAAGCCCAGGGATCTCTAAACTGTGACAGAAAACAGGACACTGGTGTGCCATAAACCAGAGCAAGAATAGTAAGATGTGCTTACAAAACAATGTCTTTCTCTAGTTGATGCTTGAAACTGAATCAGTTTACACATTTGTGAATTTTTGTGGTGCCAGGTATTCCGCTTGTTCACTGATAAAGTTTTATTTTGTGGCCTCTTTTTAAACAGCTGGGTGATCCTTCTATCTTTCCTGCTGTCATTGTGGAACATGTGCCGAGTGCTGATCTCCTGAACAATTATTCTGGGTTATCTTGTGTTGCTGAACCTAGTGACATGATAACTGAGAATTCACTGGATGTTGCTGAAGAAGAAATTATAGAAGATGATGATATCACCCTTACAGGTGTGTAAACTCCCCCCCCCCATTATCACTTAAGACACTGTGGCTCACTGTGTGCAGTTTGTCTGTGTCCAAGCCAAGCTGTGGTTTACTTATTTTGATTATCGTGTTTATTTGGGTAGTTTCACTACCTGAAGTGGTGATGCCAACACAAGTTTGTATTGCATATGGTTCATTGCTGTCATGTTCCAGCTGGAACCAAGGCTTTGTGTTATTTTTTCTCTCCATCTTGTAGTAGGTTGACTTTGTGGGATCACTAGAATGTTGTCTTTTTGGCTCATCCTTTGCCAGGCATGTGTATGACATGCCCTGCCCACTTGTTTTAGTGTTACTTGGGTGTCTTTAAAGTTGGTCCTGCAATGGATTTCTACATTTGGGATTTGATCTCTGAGCAAGATCTTTAGCATTCGCCTCACTGTTGTTCATTTCATACTGTAACTCAAGGTTTCTCTGCATCTCAACTTCTCAGGTTTCACACTTCATAGCCATAGATCCTGGCTGTAACCATAGCATTGAAAATGTCTGCTCATGCTTTGATATTCCCCATTTCTTGTAGTATTGCGTTTTTTGCAGTTAAAATTAAGCCATGGCGCAGTTCTTGAGCATAGTATCTCTGGTCAGTTATGTTTGTGGCATTGGTCTCCTGGCCAAGGCAGATGAAAGAACTGACATGTTCTATCAGCTCTTCATCTAGTTTCATTTCATGGTATGGATGGAATTGGTTTCGCAAGTATTGAGTCGTCTTCCTGTTGATTTTCAAGCTGACAGTTCTACTTGCCACACTGAGCTATTTGGACACTGCTAAATGATAAAGCAAGGCTAGTCTTATTTGTAGCTGCTTATCTGCTTTTATTTTTCTTGTTTAAATAGCTCAGCTTATGGTAGAGAAACAGTCATAACTGCCAGCTCTTTAAGATAAGTGGGTCAAGAGATGGACACCACAGAGATTCCAGGAATGCTGCTGTATTATAGTATGGTACAGTAACAGAATCTTGGAAGCTTGTCCAAGTTTCTCTCTGTTCCATCTTTACTAACAAAAAGTAAGGCAGGATTATTCTGAGTTTCTTTCTTGTGTTTGCTTCAGTGTCTGGACTGTATAATCTTTTCTGTAAGTCCCTCCTTAATGATTCTTTCATACCTTCCCCAGGGTTATCTCTAAATTCCTTTACAATAATTGTAATTTGTCAGTTCAAACATCAGACCAAAGTGCTACGTTCAAACATATTTCAAACTGTGTCTTCTGATTAAAAGAATACAGTTTGTCCACTGAGATAGACAATACACTTCTGAACTGTTGCTTGGTGCTGCTATAAGGATTAGGGAGTAGTTGTTTTATAATCTGATATCACTGATACTAAAATGTAGTGGTCCTCCCCTTATCTTCAAAATATCAGAAACCGGTTGCTCACAATACAGCATACCCAAATTACATGTGTATAGTATGTGGAACTGCTGCGGCTTCCAGTATGCAGTTCAAGGTGCTGGTTACACTTTTAAAGTTCTTCATGGCACAAGAACAGATTGCTTGCAGGACTGCTGTCTTCAAGGGTTTCTTCCCAGCCCACCAGATCCAACAGGGTGGGCATGCTCCAGATCCCCTCTATTAAAAAGTGTCATCTTGTGGGACTGAGGAGGCATGCCTTCTCTGTTGGGTTGCCTGCTGTGATGGCATGTGGGAATGACATTGGGAGACAGGAGGAAGATCCGCAGAGTAGGCAACAGTCAAATGAGAGGCAGTTGAGCCCACAGAAGGAATGGGGGCATGGGAAATGTCTCAGAAGGGACCCTCCCTAGTTTCTTGGACTGTAAAGGCGAGGGGGGAGAGATGTGATTTCAGACTTGCAAAATTCTGTTAATGTAGCCTTACAGTAAAGATAGAGCTAGTGCTCCTGGTGTGCTTCTTGTCTGGACTACCTCAAAGGGCTAACACCTGCCCTGTGGAAGAGCTTCCTCCATGAGATTTTGAGGGTCAGAACCCCTTGGTCTTCCCAGACGTTAGGGCCAGGATGTCAGTACATGTGTGTCTGTTTGTGAATTGGTTATGCAGTTTCTCTGCTTTTTTCCCCTTTGTATTAGATCATGCTAACTTTGTTCTCTTTGAATCATTTTTGTAAATTGGTTGTTAACGGCCCATTGTTATATATTTAAGATGGTGGCCATATACATTTTCTAAATAACTAAACTTGGAGTTATTTTAATCTTATCAATATCTATTTATGATATTTGTATCTTAGTTTCCATATTTGCCTACCGCCCTTCAATTCCTTCTAAACAGGACTTTTTTATTTTTCTGACTGGCTGATCAGTGGGAAAAACAGACAAGAAGATTTATTTATAGATGAAAATGAGTAAGTTGTTTATTGAAAATATATTTAGCATAGTCAGAAGATGAATTTACAAGGCCAGATGTTATCAGTCTGCTTTCCCTGTTGCTTCCTTTGAAAATTAGTGCCTTTTTTAGGAAACAGCTGTTATGTTATACTAGAGGTACCATATAGTTGTTGGACTAGGTTCATCCACTGTGGTAGATCATTGGGTGACTTGAAACTCTGTTGGGATGTAGGGATCTGTGGCTGTGAGCCACCAACTTGCTCCATACTTGAGATATACATACAGATATAGATATAGATATACATACATATGTATATACATACATATCCATCACTAACTAGTGGCCATGCTGCCTTCCTTTCATAGATGTGGCAATAGCAGAAGGGTTAGTTCTGTGGTAGAGAACATTGTTTGCACATATACAGCCACTTCTAAAGGGTATCAGATCAGGACCACTCCCAAGACCACTGAAATACTTAGTGTGGTCAACTACATGATTGGCCACTCCTCGGAAGCAAAGGAGCACTTTGGTGTAATTTTGTGATCTGTCAGTTAGGGTTGGGTGTCTTACATTGCTGTGAGAACAAAAGATTGCTTTTAAAAATGTTTTGAAGCAAAGTCAGAAAAAAAGATATTTTTGTTTAGTATAGTTAGTAAGCTACTCATGACTGGCAATGTTAGAGTCTTGTATTTTCGGCAAGAAGTACATTACTGGCTAGATTGTATTAAGCATCTGACATATACTTTCTACAAGCTATCTGTGCTTACACGTAGGAACTGTCGTTGCCCGCTGTGCCTGAGAGCTTACTTTGCTTGCTTTGAAAAAAGAAGCTCCATAAATCCCCACAGCTGTTCATGCTTTGCTTTTTTAAGTATGAAATTGAAGGTTGAGTCTCTTGATTTTCATGAGCCAAGATCCAGAGAAATGGTCTTTGAGTCCTCAGGGGTTTTACATGTATTCTTCTGGAATATATTGCATTGCAACCTACTTTAAAATCCACTCAAACTCAAGTTTATGAAATGATTTGGGTATTATCTGTTCAAAGGACAAAGGTGGATAACTCCAGGAGGCAATACAGATTCATTATGCGAGACCTGGCACTTTTTGGATTATAGCCTCTGCTCCTGTTACTTCAGAATTCCAATGATTTCAATGTTTTATCTTTGCTATAATATTTATTTATTTTTCTCAACTGCTCCTTACTTTTACTTTGTTTTTCCCAGACCCAGCTATCATGCTGACTTAAGGCCCTTACTTTTGCAGTCAGGAAGACTAGATATCATTTAAGTGGGTCTACCAGATAATTGGCTGAAATCTGCAGTACCGGACTCTTCAGACTTTGAGGAGCTAGTGGCCAATAAAGTTAATCAATCAAGTCATGGAATAGAGTTATTTAAGCATCAGGACTGAGTTAAATGGAAACAGGTATTAATAATCTGAACAAGTACCTGAAACTATCTAATTGAGCTAGAGACTAGCAGTCATGAATGTTCTCTTTCTTTGCCCTAGGATCCCTTATGTGGAATGGAGGCAAAGAGAAACGATGTTTTCATTTACCTCTCTTTTATCTGTCTCTCCCTACTTGCCACTCCCTGCCTTTTAGTTGAAGCATCCTGCCATAATGGAGACGAAACAATGCAAACCATTGAAGCTGCTGAAGCTCTCCTCAATATGGATTCCCCTGGCCCAATGTTGGATGAAAAAAGATCAAGTGAGTCTGAGAGGAATAGCACCTCAGCCAGAAAAATAAGAAATTCTGTGTGGTTGTACACAGCTCTGTTGAACAAAGATATTGCAAAAAAGGGAGCTTTAGTTTTTGAGTGAGTTCTCTGGGTAGGTTTGGCATTGCATTGTGGTAAAAGCTGGGGAAGAAAATGAGGCTAATCTTACGAGAAAATTAATTAATCTTTCATTCATTTCTTGGTAATTTTTCAATTTTCCAAGTATATTTGTTTCCATAGTGGTGTCTGGGGAAGAAAGAACAAGAGCAAGCTAATGTTTTTTTAACCTGTATTAATTAAAAAATTTTTAGCATGAATTCCCATTTAAATTAATGAAATGTGAAAACGTTTAGTGTTGACTGGAGCATGCTCAAATATTTAACTTTCATAAAATGTTCTTTTTTCCCCTTGCATTCACATTGCAATTAATGTCCAAATTATTAAATGTTTTTTTAACCTGTATTAATTAAAAAATTTTTAGCATGAATTCCCATTTAAATTAATGAAATGTGAAAACGTTTAGTGTTGACTGGAGCATGCTCAAATATTTAACATTCATAAAATGTTCTTTTTTCCCCTTGCATTCACATTGCAATTAATGTCCAAATTATTACTGATTCATTTATCTTTATTTGGTTCCAAACCCTACATACTCACACGCATCAGTCATTTCAGTAATGATGGATTGAGGGAATTATAAGACTTCAAGTTGAGCCATTTCTTCTATTTGTATGCCATCCTATCCTATCCCAGAGTGTCACGCGGATTTATTTATTTATTTATTTATTTATTTTGCCTTTTACAGTTAAGTAGCAATGAATCAAGAATAAAATAAGTTACCCAAAGTTAATTCTAAAATAACACTAGCAAATCAGTATTGTGTGTAGGACTGTGATTGGGAAGATCTAAATTCAATTTCCCCCCCTCCATCTATGAAGTTTCCCTTAGCAGTTTTGGTCTAATCACTGCCCCTTAGCCCATCCTTTCTCAGAGAATTATTATTTCTTGGGATAAAACGATCCTTTGAGCTCCCAAAGGAAAGCTGGGATATACATTACATAAATAAATGTAATACATTTTAATTTTTATTAGTTAGTTAAAATGATTTACATTCAGTGCTCTGTTTGGAAGATTTTGCCCATAAAAAGTCATGTAACAATAGTTAGAACTTCTAGTAGAATCTTGACAAACGTTTAGTTACTGTTCTGTTGTTTTTGGGAAGTACATGTGTTTGAAGCGGAGGATGAAGTTGAAGGTGCTCCTATTACTCATGTATCAGTCACATTGGATGGCATCCCAGAGGTGGTAGAGGTTCATCAGATCCAAGATGCCTTTTCTGAATCACCTAGTACACCTGAGCAACCAAAGAAGAGAAGAGGTAAAGAAGTGGAAAGGGGTTGTTGAAGAGCTGCCTACGGTTATTGTTCTTTACGTGCAAAGGTTAAGAACATCTAATGCTCAGGGATAGAGAATCTAAACCAAATAGTGGGCCATCTGGGTAGGAAAATGAATGCTTAGTTCAGTTAAATTCCTTTAGGTTACAATTGCGAAACATTTTGGAAGATACATTTGGGTGTAGACACCATTAATTGAACTGTACAATGCAGACTTCAAGTACCATATTTTTCTATCAATAAGACGCCCCCATGTACAAGACGACCCCCACTTT